GTTTCCTATAGGATATCCATAGACAATTTTATCAGGAGGGCTGACCTAATGAAAGGATTCCTTGATGGATTCATGACATTATTGGAAGGTCATGAAAAGTAGGAGATGGGGCTTTGTTGTTGGTTAGTTGTCAATGTGTCCATAGATGAATAGTTTTTTGTATACAGTACTTTTTTGTTTTAATGAACTAAATGTTTCCAATGTTGCTCTTTCACTTGGTTCATTTTGTATGTTAGCTGAGATTTGTTGTCAAGTCATTGTTATACTTCACTTCGTTCTTTAATGTCTCTTTTAGCTCGGGGAACTATTGGTAACAGTCAATTAGTAATGTTTTCTTGGCATACCTTTAATATATATGGGCAACTATATTTGCGATGGTAGTATAAAATTTGAGTTCTCAAATCTGCTTTAACAAGTATTTCATAATAGGCTCTTTTACAATTCCTATGGAAAATCAATGATTCCTATCATAGTTAACTATTGTGTAAGACTATCTCCTTTCCAGAAGCTTCCTACTAAGATATTTAGGTTGTTCCATCATTTCTACCAAACAGAATCTCAACATTAAACTCACGCTTTAAACTCGCAGTGCTGTCTCCTGAAAAGCTGCTACATTTGCTGATATGGCTGCCACATGTTCTGTTTCCATATTAAGTCAATTTCAATGTGTGTGAAAGAAATGCTACAGATTAATGTGGTCAGCATCATGACAAGCAGGCCCGGTGCCTATCAATGAGAACAGCTCTAGAAAAATGGGCCTTAATCATACCTGCTCATGCATAGTCATAATTTTAGTACCTTAATTTTCTATTGTCTTTGTTCAGTTTCTGCAGCTCTAAAATGGTGATTAAAATCTGATTCATGGCACAGTACTTTCATACACCTACATGAAAAAAAAAGCCCTAAAATGTATTTTAAAGTCTCAGATATAAGGAAAGCATAGATAGAATTGTAGATTGAGATCAGCTCACACAAAAACATATGTGAAAAATAACCTAACAGGGAGCTTGAGGTGTGGATCAAGTGGTACCGTAATTTGGTCCACCTACAGTGTGTGTGTGCGTATACATTACAAATGATCAATAACAGGAGATATAGAATCTCAAATTTTGAGTGAATTCGACTGATCAAACTTTTGGGAGATGCTTTTGCTCTGCTGTCTCCACAATATGTACTGTCAGACAATAAAACACATTTCATTGCCAATTTAAAAAATGGACAAAAGATGGAAGGTATTTATTATTTATAAGAACATTATATCCTAGATACCTCTGGCCAAGCTGTCTAGGGTCCCATGCTCCAAGTAAAGCAAAGTAGCTTCAGGAGTGCTGAGCTTGTCAGTGGTAACTATACTGGAAAGATGGTTAAGTTCTGTCAAAGGCTTCAGAATTTATACATAGCTCAGGCTTGAGTTGATGTTGCAGTTTTATATGGTCTATGAGTTCATATGTTGGTGACTTGTTCTATAGTCCTCACAAAGTCCTCGCAGGACACCAGTTATAGGAGAGATTGCTATAAGAGAAAGAGGCCAGGCACATCTGTAATCCCAACTACTCAGGAGACTGAGAATTGCAGTTGAAGGCCAGCCTAGACAGGAAAGTCCATGAAACTCTTATTTCCAATCAACTGCTAAAAGGCTGAATGGAAGTGGAGCTGAAGTGGCAGAGCACTAATCCTAAGCAAAAAAGTTTAGGAATAGAGCACAGGCCCTGAGTTCAAGCCCCAGGACTGGCACAAGAAAAAAAAAAAAAAGGAAAGGAAGACACAAGTTCCTTTCCACTGTCTGGCTGTCTCTCTATGTGATTACTCCCTCTTACTATATGCTTCTGCCAGGAATATGCCATATACTATGCATACTACAAAGAACAGTAGAGACCAGTGCTTTCCTCTTGTAATTCTACAGTTGTGAATTAAATACTTTATTACTAAGCCTCATTCTGTTATAGCAATGGAAAACAGAATGAAGCTGCACAATGCATGATAGCCAATACTTGAGAATACTGCTACCTACCAGATTCAATATTTTTCTATTCATTGTATTTTTACTACTCCAAAGAAGGTATTATTACCACCACAGAATGAGACATAGAAAGTAATGTTCAAGTTATAAGCAATCTTGTCTCAAAGCAATTACAACACTATATGATTTCTCAGTAAACTAAACTTTCTATCATCATGATAGGAGATTGAAGCTAATTTTGAAAAACACATTTTTTATATTAATGTAAATCTCAAATATATAAAAACATTGAAAGAACTTTATGTACTAGTTAAAAATCCTTCTAAGACATGTCTATTCCCTCATATTCCTGAACATTTTATATATCATATCATCCTCTTTCCTCAAGTCTTTCATGAGGTCTCCTCCTTCATAATCTTCTCATTCACTGAGAAAGTAAGACTTTTATATGATTATCTATGCTGAGGTTTGGAAGATATATAGCCCCACAGGCCATGTTTAAGGTTTGGTCTCCAAATGGTGATAATATTTAAGGAGGTGCTAGAAACTTTCAGGGGGTAGGGTTAAGCTAGAACTAGTTCATTTGGTGGAGTCCTCTTCCAGAATATATAGCCATAGCACAGCCCAGATGCAGCAGAGCATGCACAAGGCCTGAAACCTATGAAACCATAGATAAATTCTTCTTCATGTAAGTTGACTTTCTCAACTAGTTGTCACAGCAACAAAAATACTACCAACAAAACTGTAAACATTTAGGCCTACATAATCATTTTTGTTCTATTGCTATTTTGTTCTATTGTTATATAAGCTGTATGTATGCCCATCAAAAAGCTAAATCTATTTTTACATCAGATTTATAGTCTAAAAATGTTTCTCTCCTTTCTGCATCTTTTTATTTTAATCTCTAGTATATTTTCAAGAAAAAAAAGGCAGGAAAAGAAAGATGTTTGATCTGTTGCCTATTATGGCTCATGCCTATAATCCTAGCTACTCAAGGTGGCTGAAATCTGTAGATAGTGGTTTGAAGCAAGCCTGAGCAGAAAAACCTGCAAGATTCTCATCTCTAATTATTTAAAAAGCTGGAAGTCAAGCTGTGGCTCAACTAGTAGAGAGCAAGCCTTAAGCAAAAATGCTCAAGAACAGCATTCAGATACTAACCTCAAGCCCCAAAACCAGCACAAACAAACGAACAAAAAAAGATGCTTGATATATTCATTAAAGACCCAGGTCCATGTCCTCTTGCTACTTGAAGGATTCCTTTTTAAAAGAACTTCCAGTCTCACTATAAATTCTCTATCTACTATTCTTTTATCTCCTAATCAGTTTGTCAAGGTTGCTAAACCCAATTCTCAATCCTAAGAACTAACTTTTTTTATTTCTCAAGCATATTTGACCATCCTTTCTATGTGAGATACTTTCTTCATATGGTTTCTAGCTATTCCTCTTTGGTTTTCATAATAGTTTCTTGTTCAGACAGAAAAACATTATTAGCATGTCCCAGGATTCACTTCTACTTATTTCTCACTGCTAATTAATGTCCTTTCTTCCATTACTTCACAATTAAAAAAAAGAGGTTGTGAATCATAACACTTCCATTAACAACTGTGTCTTTGGTCTGTACGTCTAAATTAAAGATGTTTTTACATTATCATATGAACAAATTACAAACCAAAAAAATTTCATTAATAATTTTACAAGCTTTCACCTTTGTAAGCTTACACATTTATAAAAATGAAGTTATAAATTTCTATGTTGAAAAATATTTGTGAAGTGCAGTATATCTAAGTACAAAATTTTTTAAAAAGCAGTATTTGTAATAAAAACAGTATTGCAAAATTATTTTAGTAATTTATGATTTATAAATTCACATAATTATAATGCATACCTTCTTAGGTATATAAGCCAATATAATTAAAAATTACAAGGACTATATTGCTGGAAACAAAATAATTTATTATATATATCAGTAAAACACATGTATTATATTTCCAATAATTTGTCTAAAAGACATATAGATTTATTTTGTAAATATATTTTCATAGTTATACGCACAGCTTCACAATCCAAGATGTCTTATTTCTCCTCCTCCAGGTTGGGTAGTACGTGAAAGAAACGGAATTCAATAGGAACCTAAAATACCATAAAAGCCCATTAAAAATAATCATGATTAGGAAATCATGAGTTTGTTCAAAATACCTAAACGCAAAAACATTTCTATTTAGAAAATTAGTGAATCAAGTCAGTAAAACAAAGTTAATTATGTAAATAATCCAGAAACTTGTATTTCTAGTCTTAAAACATGAAGTATGTTAATTGTGCAAACTGAATGGAATCAGTATTTTCAAGTTTTTGCATTGCCAGGGTACTAATTATCAATAAAATTTTGAGTGGTTTACGTAGTACTTCTGGGAAAATTTTCCAAGTGAAATGCAGATTTCACTTATTTTCCTACTTTTTATAAAAAGATAGCTAAGTTAGTAATACACTCCAATAAATCAGTATAACAACTGACATTCCTCAAAAATTACTCAGGTAACTTTTGCACATTAAATTCTTGGGACTCATTCCTTGACACACTGATGACAGTTCTAAAATAACAGTCTAGGAATCAAGACATAGAACCTACATTTTCTAGACATAGAAACTCTTCTTCATGGTTCTCTACCTGTATAGCACATTAGAATCACTTTGAAAGTTTAAAAACATCTAATATCCGCTGGGCACTGGTGGCTCACGCCTGTAATCCTGGCTACTTCAGGAAGCTGAGATCTGAGGATCACAGTTCAATGCCAGCTTGGGCAGGAAAGTCCAGGAGACTCTTACTAACCACTGAAAACCAGAAGTGGCAATGTGGCTTAAGTGGCAGAGCACTCCCTTTCAGCTGAAGAGCTCAGGAACAGCGCCCAGGCCCAGAGTTGAAGCCCCCGACCAACTAAAAAAAAAAAAAAAGAAAATTCTAATATCCAAGTTATGCTAAACTATTTATACTGAAACTCTGAGGAAAGGGAACATCAACATATTTTTCAGAATTTGTGTTTTCTTTAAAATTCTGATGTTTTGTTTTTAGGTTTCCAAGTCATTACTATGGTCAATGAAGTTGGAGAATAGAAGATCTTAGTGATCATCACCAATTCTAGATCACTGTTCTTATTTCTACCAGGACAATTTTTTTTCCACTTACTAATCAACCTGAAATCAACATTATACATTTTTATCCCATTACTATCTTTTTGTTCTTTTTTAATTTTTGTTTTGTGCTTAAGAAAAGATAAAAGAAGATAGGTCCTTCTAATTATTATCTTTATATCACACCTCAGATGTGAGGTCTTACTTTGAGACTTATATAGAATCTAGTCAGTCAATATATGTACTTTAAAAAAATAAAAAAGAAACCTTTTCTCAGTTAAATTTTAAAACATGTAATACATAGTATTAAAACAAGATATATCATTAAATAGAAAGCATTTGTTACTAAATTCGGTTTAGTAAATACACAAACAAAAGGAACATGACAATTCTGTGTTTTAAGTACATGTACGTACTGATAAGTTGACCTGATTCACTAACTTTTCTTGGAAAAACTATATAACCTAAATAAAATAAAATATTCAACAAGGAATCTAAAAAACAAAAAAAAAATATCTTTTCAAGCCACACAAACAATTTTAGAAGTACTTCTTTGGAATTACTGCTTGATCTGGATCAATGAATAAGAGGGACAAAACATTCCTGGGGAGAAAAAAAAAGAAAAAAAAACAAACACTACCCCCAAAAAAGGATACAACAAGAAAGGATACACTTTGCATGACAGTATTACAGCAGTATTTACGCAGGAATGCTTCTAAAGAAGAACAGCAGAATGCAATTTAAAGTTTTCTTATCTTTCAGCATTAAATTTACAAATAAATGGCGTTCTTAAATACACACTGAAACCATTCGATTTTTCCTGTGCAACATTTATGTCTGTGTATACCAGTATAGGTACATGAAAACAAAATCAAGATATTAATGGCACCTCAAAGAGAATAAACACTATGTAATTTTCTTAATATTTTTAAGCCAAAAAACAGCAGTTTTGACCAGTTTATTTCATGTTCTTCTAATTAGAGACAGTAGAAAGTTTAAAAGCTTATTTAAAAAAAAAAAAGAATATATGTCTTCGTATTTCTTAACGCAGTAACAAACTACGTATTTTACTTGGAGGTACTAAGATCTGAACTCAAGATCCTACACTTACTAGGTAGGTAATCTAAATAACACTTGAACATTACCCCCAGCCATGCTTATTTTTGATATTTTTTAAAATAGGGTCCTGCCTTTTCCCAGGTCGGCTTAGACCACAATTCTTCTATGTACATTTTCCCAATAACTGGAATGACAGGTACATTAATGGAGGTGGTGTCTTCTCTGGGCTAGCTTTGAAACATAAAACTCCCTACCTCCATCTCTTGAGTAGCTAGGCATGCAGTTATAAGCTACAAGAATAGCCTTAAACTTTGACAGTTATAATATTTAATTATACCATTCCTACTCATTATTTAAACATTAAAACTACTTGTTCAAGAAACAAGTATGTTTGACAAAATACATGTATACTCATCACTAACAAATTTGAAGAGGAGGAAACTCTTGCTTTTAATTATCTAAGAGCTTTTGAAGTGTGACCTCTGGAACAATTCCCCTTTAACTGCCAGGTAATGTACTAGTTACATACATTCTCAAACGCTACCAAGAGTTTTAACCATTTGCTCTGGCTTGCCAGACACTTGCCGCAAAGTACTGAATAGTGAGAAATCTGTCAGTCACAAGAAGTAGGACTTTAGGTTACCAATTTCAGACCAACTAAATCAGAATCTCTTGAAGATACAGCAATGTTTTGTCAAAGTCTCCATGTGATTGCAATATATGCTAGTTTAAAAGCCTTCTTTAGAAAAAAAAGTAAATGAAAATAGAAGATATAACACCTTATAAAATTGTTTCTTTCAATTTAGCCTGAAATCACAATTTTGAAATTAATGGGAATACATTACATGTAGATATTTCCCTAAAAATTCAAAAGATACTAACATTACTTTTACCAAGTATTTTCTTACAATTTGCAAATCTTAAGAAAATGATGCCTTCTCATTACATTTTAGCCATACTTACCATTACTAACCCTTATCGCTTTCTTTTTCCTTCTTTAGAATCTTGTTTTGGTCTGGCAGATCGAGCAAATTGCTAGTATTTTTAAATTAAGGTTTCTTTTATTAATATGAAGATGTTTCTAGATAATTATCAGTAACTTCTTAATATAGGACCTCAATGCACTTTTTAAATTTACTTTTACTGCCTCCTGCATGCAGTTACAAAGAACTACTTTTTCTTTTCAATCATTACTTTTCACACTTGGGCCTATGCACCTTTTCTTTTCCCTTAATTTTTAGTTTGCAAACTGCATTCACTACTGAAAAAAGATGGTAAATTATAGTGATATAACTTGGTATTAAGATAATTAAATAGAATGCAATAATAAAATATCAAGTAGAAGTTATAATAACTTTCTTTTCAGTGACTCCAAATGAATTTCTGGATACTATAAATCTTTAATCTATATCATAATATACTTTTATTTATTTATTTTGGTGCTTGTCCTGGGGCTTGAATTCAGGGCCTGAGTGAATTCAAGGCCTGCAGGCCTTTCTGCACAAGGCTAGTGCTCTACCAATTGAGCCACAGCTCCACTTCTAGCTGTTTTGGTAGTTTAGTGGAGATAAGAAAACTTCAGACTTCCTTGCCCAGGCTGGCTTCAAACTGTGATCCTCAGACCTCATCCTCCTGATACGTAGGACTGAAGAATGAGCTGCCAGCTCCTGGTACCATAATATCCTCTCAAGCTGTGTAAATTAGACATAAAAATTAGAAATGGGGCTGGGAAGGTGACTCAGTGGTAGAGCACTTGCCTTGCATGCCTGAGGCCCTGGATTCAATTCCTCAGCAACACATAAGCAAAAAGAAAAAAAAAAAAAGATGGAAGTGGCTCTGTGGCTCAAGTGGTAGAGCGCTAGCCTTGAGCTGAAGAGCTGAGGGACAGCGCCCAGGCCCAGAGTTCAGGCCCACGACCAGACCAAAAAAAAAAAAAAAATTAGAAATAGCCAAAGTTCAGTGCCTACATAGTACCAAAGTTCCCTTATTTTCAAATAAAAATCTAAAAAGTGTGCCACCTGTTTCAGTTAAGAAATATTTTAACTGTTACCAAGTTGCTCAAGCTAGAATGTTAATTGTCGAGATTTTAATAAAGGATAACATGAGAGTTAGTTTGTCATACCCTTCTTAAAATAACATAGTTTGGGGGCAGATTGACTTAAAGGATACAACCACCATAGGTTTTCCAAAAAGAACATATCCATTTGCTTCCTTTAAGGCTTTAGCTGCAGCCTTTTCATTTGGAAGTCCAATGAAAGCCTGTCCTTTCATGCGACCTTCTTTCATTAAGCGTATATCAAACCTAAGAGAAATAAAAATCATTGTGATTCACAGAATGTAAGTTTCAATCTACCATAGGCAAATATAGTAAATAACTTAAAAGTTTGCTATTTCAAAGTGAAATCTAGTATATGACATGATATTATCTACTAGGCAGGCTTTCCAAAATTCTACTTAGTCTACAAGTAGGTAAAATGCTATGCTCTATCTATCTATCTACACAGCATTACTGTGACTTATTTCAAGAAGTGTGAACCAACCCAGGTCTTCCATATGCTAGCAAGTGTCACTACCACCTAAACTATACACTCATCAGAACAACTTTTTCAAGTTTTTATTTTACACCCATATTTGTCTTAATTTGAACATTCAATCCAATAATATCTGCTCAAATAACAAAATACTAAAATTAAAAGGCTAACAGGAACTTGTGTTAAGAATTTATAGGATTTCAAGGCAGAAAAGGAACTTAAGGAATTTGCCATTACTTATCTAGACAAAAACCATCATTTTATGAATAATATTTAAAATGACTGACTCTTCAAAGCAGATAGCATTGGTACTGTTTCCAGTGTTGTACTATACACTTTTTCAACATTTTTGAGACAAAAACCCTGTATTTAAAGGCTACAGAAAAAGATGAGATTGTAACTTACAAGCATAATATGGTCTAGCATTAGACAGTAAAAACAAAAAAATATTAGCCATGGTGATCAGGTCTGTAATCCCAAATATTAGCAAAGCAAAACAAATGGAGAAAAGTTTGGGGCCTGTCCAATAACTGGCTGTAGTAGAATGTACTTAACATCTCAGTTATGTGGGGCGCATAAATAGGAGGAATGAAGTCTAAGCTAGCCTAGGAGAAAACCTGAGCCTCTTTACCAAACAGAAATTAAGCAAAAGGATGGGGGTGGAGAGAAGAAGAGGAACAGTTATGTTTAACACTCAAGTGTTAAAAAATGATAAATAAGTAGTAAAACTGTTTTGCATATCATTACCTCTAGACTCATAGAAAACAATTACTTTGTTATCTATATTTTCTTCATATGAAATAACTTTAGCTATAAATTCTAATTATAGGAAATACTGAAAACAATGTTTACATGAATTTCCATATGTGAATATATAAATGACTTAGCTTTTCTTATAATCATAATCCATTTGCAAGAAAAAAAAACAAGCATCTTGTCTGGACAGAGAAAATTAGCTTCTGATACCTTCATAAGACACTTCTGACTATAAATGGAGAATTTTAAGACAGGGTCTCGTTTATGTATAGCTATCTAAAAAACACACAGGTATTGCATTGGTTTCACTCAAAAAGTCAAAATAAAATTAGCAAAAGTTACTTGCTATTTACTTCCACTTAATAAAGTATTTTACTTTCAATTTATATTATCAAGAATCTTTATTAATTCTGAATTAACAGAATTTTGAAAATAAAATTCTAACTATAAACTGTTTTAATAATATCTATGAATCAATTCATATCTTCTGCTTTCACAGAATTGGGAGTTTTGCTTAATGTAGTATATTTTTCATTTTTTTTCTCTTGCCAGAATGCAAAACTAGAAAAATTTCCCTGATTGCTATATACTCTTGGGTGAATCATTACAGTAACACTTTCCAAACTATAGACATTGAACCAGTACCCTCAGCAACATCTAATAACATCTTAGAAATAAAAATTCACGAGTCCTAACTCAGTCTAGGAAATCAGATTCCTAGGAATGAGGCTTTGAAACTATTTTCCAAGCTCTTGAGATGATTCTTAAAGTTGAACAGCAATTTTTTATAGGAGAGATTAGGATTCATCACAGACCTGTTTCTGTAAACCTTTATTGGAATACAACCATTTGCTGATGCATTGTTTATACCTCCTTTCATATAAGGAATACAAAATTGAATAGCAGTGATATAATATGGCCTGTAATAAAGTGAAAATTTAAAAATTTTCTCTTTTGCTCATTTACGGAAAGCGTCAGCTCATGTTTTAGATCTATGAAAATGTACTTACAAAACAGACTAATTTCTTTATGTAATTTTTATCTGAAAAGTAATAAAGGCACTAAATTCATGACAAGTAAAACATAATTTGAGACTTTGATGCCACTTACATTATCTTTTGTGTTTCAGATGAAAAATCAACATATCTTCCAAAAATAAATTTAAGGTCCTAGGAATTTAATAAAAAAAAAACAGTAAGAGAAGCAGGAGAAAAAATTAAAATAATAAAAGTAGTTTATAAGTTTCAACTTACCTTTTCTTGAACATGTTTGGCTAAATTCTTTACATAAATTCTACAGTTGGGTTCACCAGGCTCATAACTTCGGAAAACTGAAAGCTTTTCCATTTCTTTTAAAACAAAACAAGGATAGACTATTAAAACATCTCAATTTTTTTAAAAAACATTCTAAGTAATTTTGAAAATAGCAAAATGAGCTTTAAGCAAATGTTAATATGCCGGAAGTGGTGCTGTAGCTCTAGTGGTAGAGCACTAGCCTTGAGCTGAAGAGCTGAGGGACAGCGCCCAAGCCCAGAGTTCAGGCCCCACTACCGACAGAAAAGAAAAAAAAAAAAAAAAAAGGTTAATACCACAGACGTTAGTTGCAATATTATTAAATGATACAAGCCACATTAAAGTCTGAAATGATTACAAGAAAAAATAGGAACACTTGTTTTAAATTTTTCATACATCCAAAAATAACTAAAATTTGGCCCATATGAAATATACTACTATTAAATTTAAGATAACTTACATTACTAAAACAAAAACTAAAGCTTATCTGGTATCAATTATTTCAAAAATATTGTTTAAAGTGAATTTGTCAAACCATTCTCTACTTCCATATTTAAATGCTAATATATAATAATTAAAAACCAATCATCATGTACTTCAGTCTGTGAACCCCTTTATAGTGCCCCATATTTACTTCCAGTAATCTATTCTTGATAACTATATAATTCTCTAATCATTTACTTTTTAATTGTTTGTATAATATACTACTGGGATAGTCTATAGACTATGTGATTTATAATACATAACTTCAGACTTACGGACCACATCGGTTTATTTTATGAGCAAATGAAAATTTTAGAAAAGATTTTTTTCTAAACACATACAGTCTGGAAAAACTATTTGGAAAAGAACTTCTTATAAAATGTAAGGTAATCACAAAACATTAAATGAAGAGAAATACTGAAATGGAACTTGTACTTTAAATTAAGGCATATAACACATCAAGGGACTTGATTTTTTTGTATAGTAAAAAAATATAAAATGAAAACAGCAAAGTTTAAAAAGTAAAACAAAATAGGTGGTATTTTGTTTTATGACAGTACCTTGTCTAGAAATTCTGCCCTTTTCTAACTCTCTTCTAGAGATACATTCTGAGGGCATTTCATCAGAGTCTTCATTATTTTCTTCTGGAACACTCAAATTAGGTTTGGGAAAGATTTTTCCAAAACCTACATTTGAAGCATCAGCGTCAGTTGCAGGTAAATCTAAGAGATCAATGTTAACATTAGTCATTAAAAAGTCTTATTTAATTCTACAATTGTCATAGCCACATTTCAAATGTTTCAATAGTCACGGGTGGCTAGTAGCCATTTTTTGGATAACGTAAAGTTCACAGTAAGTTCTAGTGAACATCATGGCTTTATAAATGTAATTGTTAGTTATTGACATTTAGGAAATGTCAAAATCATGGGCCATATAACCCTATAATAAATCTTTAATCAAATCACAGAAGTCTCTTTCTTCAGAAATTCTGTATTTATAATTTAGGAAAGTAAGTATGCAAATTAAATTCTTGTGTTTCTCAATGCTTTAGAACAAGCACAGAAAAATTTCCCATTAAAACCCAAATAGTAAATAAATCAAGCACTGAAGGCCACCATATTTCTCATTATCATTTAATTCAGATATTGTAGCATTAAAAAGCAACAGACAGAAAATAAACAGACACATAGTCTTTATGGCACTACTTAGAAGGCATGTAAAATGGAAGAAAATCATTTCTATTTTAATACACTCAAACTGAAGTATCAAACAGACATCTGATTAATAGGGAGTAAATAGTAGTGAGTCTTCAGGGGTAACTGAAATATTATTAAATAATACTGTATGAACAAAAATGTAATTAAGTAAATCATGCAGTAAAAGCATTTTAATAATGGAATAGTCACTCAAGATTATATAATGATTACAAAGACTTCACTGTGATACATCAGAATGTTGTAAAACACTAAATCTTTTAAAGAGATTAGAACATTAAGATGAGTGGTAGAGATGTAGTTCAGTGGAAAAGTCTTTGGCTAGCATATGCACTATGGGGGGGGGGTCAATTCCCAGTATTATTGTAAAGATAAGACTAAAATGTTAAAAAGCTAAAGATTGAAATGTAAGCAATCATTTTTTGTTTCTAATGTGGACATCAATACCAAAACAAAAAAACAATGAATTTTATCCCAGATAAAACTAGCAAAAACTAAGTGATAAATTCATTGATTCACTTAAACCTTTTGTTCATTACATTAAGAAGTTGGAAATGGACATTATTCCATGATACTGAGGAAAACCTAACTGCATAAGTTAAATGAAGTTCAGGAATACTAAAATACAAAAACATCATATATAAAACAATTCTAACACAAAAGCTGACTTCAGCATAGTAAAGAACTAGATTATTCTTACCACAATTTTTTTCCTCATGTTCCTTCTCTAAATCTTGCTTAAATGCTGTTGACATGTCAGTAGATATATGGAATTCAATTCTTTTATTACCTACAGGTTGTGGCTGATCAAATACATCCGAAGGTAACAGCACAGGATGTAAGTTGCTATGTAAAAATAATCACACAATGAGTCTGTATTATAAATAATCCTAAGAAAAGCAGTTACTATTTCAAATTTACATTATAGGTACTGTACAAAGTCATCTAGGCTTAGAACTTTAATAAACAACAAATAAGCTATTGTGGGTACTACTAAATAGTAAGTGTTGAGGGGATTGAGGCTAAAGATGTTAATAACCTGAGCAAAGTCACTTGGTGAATGAAAAAAGTAAGACCTGAGTGCTGATTTTAAACTCCATTATATTCATCAATAATGAAAAAATAGAAAAGGCACCAAATTTTTCTATGTTCATGCATGAGTCCTTAATGTGCTATATTTTATACACCATGTGATAGTGTTGTTTTGGCTAACATAATAGCTACTAGTTGTACCAGACTGTTGATTGTAAAAAAGATGTATAACATGTCAAGTTTCTAAACTGAAAATAATAAGATTCTGGGTGCAATGAGTTTAAATAGTAACAATAGCTTCTTCTGTGGAAAATTCAGGGTAGCATACGTTACTTGTTTTGGCTGATTAGCACTGCTGTAGAGATGAAAAAGATGGTGGTGTCAAGTCAGACATAGCTGGGGCATCACGCTACTTTTATGCAGTATTATTTCTACAATGAGTGAAATAAAGCCTGGTGGAAGTGGCTCATACCTATTATCCTAGCTACTCAGGATTCTGAGATCTGATGATAAGGTTTCAAAGCCGGCCAAGACAGACAAATCTGGAAGACTTTTATCTCTAATTAACCAGAAATAAGCAACAACTGAAAAGTGTGGCTCAGGTGATACAAAGCCAGGTATGGGCAGAAAAGCTGAGTAAGAATGTGAGGGCTGGTGTTCAAACATAGTACTGGCAACAACCTAGTACTGGCAACAAAACCCAACAACAAAAAGAAAAAAAAAAAAACAGAAAAAGAGTGAATTCAGATTTTAGAGGGAAAATGGGGAAAAAAGTAATTTAGAAAAACTCACTATCTTAATGACAATTAACATGGCAATATAAAAAGGAAAATTTTAACTCTTGGGTTATGAAGTAGAATGAAATGCTGGTAAACTGTCAGGAAATGATGACTACTTAGGAATTTGGTGAATAGAAAGCCAGTGGTCAACCAGTTAAACTAATATTAAACAAAACCTGACTGAGAAAAAGTTAAGTTAAAAAAGCAAGCCACATATATTCAGATAACTTTCATTTCATAACCCTAACCAAAATTACCTGTGTGAAGCAAATGATGGTGTAGTCAACATATCTTTTATCTTTCGCTTTTTTCTCACATGACGTTGCTTTGTTGTTTTTGGTCTTTTGGGCTGAAGATTTGCTAGTTCCATCAGTTTAGTCATTCTATAATTAACAGAAGAAACATAAGATTTCCTTATCTAGAATTTAATTAACACTAATTCTGTTAAGCAGCAATTTTTATTTGGGTATTTAAAATAAATTACAGCAAAATTTACTTATTTGAAATGTATTAATGAAATATAACTCTTATGGATTTCATAATATGTATGAATATAAAATATATTTATATGGAATAAGGATAACTTCTAAGCTATCAACAACCAATTTCACAAAAGCTCATACTCTAAATGAATCGCTCGATTTCAAAGAATTAAGCATTTACTTAATTATATTTTTCTCTAGTTTCAAGAATTTTTTTTATAAACATTATTCAGTGCTCAAATGAAATCACTGGACTTCATGCTAAACTGAACAAAGATATACAATCACCCAATACAAGGAACTTTATTGTACTTTTCCAGTCCAATATTAACCACACTGAGCAGGGTCTTAAAACCCACCAGTAACAAGTTTTATTTGCCATGTAATACTACTTTGGGTTTCATTTTTGAAATCTGAGAGGAAAACAAATATACCTACATAAGAAAGTCAGAGACACAGAGAAAGGTATGATTGAAGTTTAAATATTTTTCTCTAAAAAAGGAAAAATGTAAACCTATGTGGTAAATTTTTACAGCCGTTTATCAATGGCTGCTTACCAAAATTTGTTGTTAAAATTTTTCTATTCAAAGCATATTATCTATATATGAGCTTCTTAGCCTGAGTATACTAAGCCTCTAAAGGTTAAGTATATAACAGGTAGTTTTTATTTAACTATTATTTTTCTTAAGTTTTGTCACATTTCCAGGAGCTAAAGGGAGAGGCAACCAACCAGCAGTTGACAGTGCAAAGGCTTTGTTCTTGTTCAATACTCAATATGAAATAATGGTAACATTTCATACTATATCACTAAATAAAAATTAAAATAATCAAAACAAAAGTGTTTCTGGTCTGTTCTCAGTATTATTACATTTTTACAACAGGCAAGTTCAAAGAGGATAATTAAACAAATGCAACATTTTATACTACTCTTTGTTCAGCAATAAATTTCAACCTAGAATTGCCAGCTATGGTAAATGTTCCTATTGAAGAAAACTACTGTATTCACTCTCATTTTGTAGTTTTAGCACCACCCCTTTGACTTTTAACTTTTTCCACAAAGAATCACTACTTAGGAGACAATGACTTAGTTAAGATTAATACTGCTGTTGATTACATATGCTTTTTTCCAAGTCTGTGCGTTCTGCCTCATGTCAACAAATCCTTTTAATTGTGGTTTCTGTGAAGTTTCCTAAAATTCCTATCATTTGATAAGTAAGTCTTGGAGGGCAGAGATCAACAAACTATAGACCAAATCCTGCTGACTTCCTGCTCAACAGTTTTGATGGAATACAGAGACAACCACATTGGCTCTGACTGCTTTACTACTAGAAGAGTAGACAGAGTTATATTTGTACCAGAGACTACCTGACAAAGTCAAAATATTTACTATTCCACAGCTTGACAGAAAATGTTTCAAAATTCTGGTACCAAGTCAGGTAAAGATTATATATCTGAACATCACCAACAATTCATTATCCTTTCCCAGAATCCTTAAATAACATATGTATATTGAGAAGAACAATAAAGAATAACACTTTTAGCCAGGAGCCAGTTTCGAATACCTATAATCCTAGTTACTCAGAAGGCTGAGACCTGAGGATTGTGGAGTAAAGCCAAGCTAGGCAAGAACGCCTGTGATGCTCTTTTCTCCACCAAAAAGGCTAGAAGTAGCTCAAGTAGCAGAGCACTAGCTTTGAACAAAAACAAGCTCAGGGACAGAGACCAGGCCCTGAGTTTAAGCCCCAGGACCACTACCATCAACAAAAAAATTCTATGCATAGTTCCCAAATTTTTCCTACATGCCTAGTGTCCATTCTTTAGCCTTACTCTATAGATACTGTATACGCTTTAGGTGTTAGAGGTAGGAAAGTTGAGGACACATTCAAATGCCTCCAAACTTAGAGGAATTATATATAAACTATAAGAAAAATCTGAGTGTCTTTTCCAATTATGATTCTTAGAATTTATTCAGTTATTTAATACCACAAACCTCTGTCGATCTTCGTTATCACTGCTCTCATATTCTGATTCTACACTAGATAATTCTTCATCCTCATCTGGCAAAGGAGGGTCCTCAGGTGGTCGAGGTGACGTAGGTGGAAGAGGCGCATGCAATGGCATATAGTCTTCATACTAATTAAAAGAAAAAAACAAAAATATCTGCAATCTGTGATGTTGAGAAATAATTTTATATAAATATTTAATACTTGGTATTCATCGGAACTAACATTCCATACTTCTAATTTCTTGTCAGTTCATGAAATTATTTTATAAATTCAAAGGAATTTAAGAATACCTTCTATGACAGACCACTAGCTAATCAAAAATTTGTTTTGCCCTCTTTGGAGACCATGTGGACTAAATTTGCATATATCCCTAACATTTCATCTTGCAACCAAGTCGGAGCCAAAGAAACGTAGAGTCTCCACACATAATCTTCATTTCTCTTCTAATCTGCAGACTATTTTGGTAATGCCTGCATCAATCTGGGAAGAATGTTTTTCTGAGTGACTCAGAACAGAATATCCCTCTCTCCAATTTTGCATTACAACGATCTATAAACATACAAGTATTACACTGAAATAATTTCAAGAGGAGACAGAGATACTCCAAATTATTTGAAAAATTAGTATAGCACCTTTTTTTTTTTTTGCCAGTCATGGGGCTTGAAATCTGGGCCTGGGCACTTTCCCTGTCTTTAGCTCAAGGAGAGTGCTCTACTGCTTGAGCTACAGCACCACTTTCGGTTTTCTAGTGGTTTACTGGAGATAAGAGTCTCACAGAATTTTCTGCCCAGCTGGCTTTGAACCGTGATCGTGAGATCTCAGCCTCCTGAATAGTTAGGATGACAGGCGTGAGCCACTGGTGTCCGGCTACCTTCTCTTTTTTGTTACTGTTTTTCTGGACTTGAACTCAGCCTAATGCTGGCTAAGCAAGTGCTCTACAACTTGAGCTATGGCCTCAGCCCATTCTTTTTTTTTTTTGGGGTCCGGAAGTGGGGCCTGAACTCTGGGCCTGGGCGCTGTCCCTCAGCTCTTCAGCTCAAGGCTACCGCTCTACCACTTGAGCCACAGCGCCACCTCCGGCTTTTTTTTTCTTTTTTGCTTATGTGGTGCTAAGGAATCGAACCCAGGGCCTCAGGCATGCAAGGCAAGCACTCTACCATTGAGCCATCTTCCCAGCCCCAGCCTCAGCCCATTCTTGCACAATAAATTTTAGTGAACATATTACTAATCTTGCATGTCTTAAAAAAACTTTTAGAACTGAAACGATAATAATCAACTTTCAGGTAACTGAAATAATAAAATGTAATTAAAAGAAATATTGGAAAAAATTTGGTCTTCATAATCAAATGCATTTTTCCATTCGTTGTCTCTCCTCCACATTTAGTTCTCAGCTGTATTATTCATATCACATTTACTATACATTTGTTCCTATTTTCAATGAAAAAGGTTATTAACATACTTATGTAACTGACCACTCAGCAAGGGGAAACAATATGGGTCTTGAAAATTCTAAGATTTCTCTTACCATGGGGGGTCGTGCAGTAATTGGTCCAAAAGGTGTAGGTAAATTCATTTTATTCATAAGATGAAGTACCTTAAGGGGTTAAAATATTTAAAATCACGCAGTATTAAAATGATGATTTTACTAGATTTTACATTGCAGTAACACAACTAATTAATTTACTTCAAAGGAAAATCATCTTTTTCCTTTCTAATCGCAAGACTGGATGGAAATAAGGCACTGATATGTCTTAGAATGTTAGTCTTCCTACAACATTAGTCATTCTACTAGTACAATTATTCACATTAATAAGAGTTAGTAAGTCTCACATCATGTTATGTGAAACTTACTGAAAATATTTTTCTTAACATTGTTCCTAATTAGTGTGAGTTATAAAACAGTATAATAGGAAAATAAACATCTACTTCAAAAAAGTAACATTGCTAAAAATCTGCTTAGGCATCTACTATGTCTTTTCCTTTAAGAATGTCTGTATTTTGAAAGTATATTCTAAAGTAACAGAGAATTACCACAAATTACACTTTTAAAAGTACCTTCTCTTTAATATCCATTAATAATGCAGCTTTTGAAAATCTTCATTTGAGAGCCGTATACTGAAATATTTCATTGCATTTAAAACTGTAAATTGCTTTGTTTGGAATTTTTTCTGATTCATAAAATTGTAAGTCAGCAAAAGAATCAGCATAGAATCAAGCTACATAAAACATAGTTTGGAGGAAAATAAGCTTTATTCTGCATACCTGTACATAGAACTTAGGCACACTTGCCAACGCATTTACAATATTTGCTAGGATTGTACTTGAAGGTGGTGGGTACATATACTTGAGGCATGAATTTAATGGGAAAGTCAATCTACAGAAAAAAAAAAAAAAGGTTTAAATGCCCACAATTTTAATATATTACAACAATTTAATATGACAAAAAATTGTTCTGCATGTATTTAAAATAATTTAATAAAAGCTACATTTTAAATTTTAAAACTTTTTGAGTTAAAAAATTTGAAGTTACATAAAATGTTTAGTTTAAGTTATTAAAGTGAACAAAGTATTTTAATAACAATATCCTATCACTATTTTAGTTAACTGAAATAATACAAAATGTCTTTTATTTACCTTACTTCTTTTAAAATTTAATTATTCTTAAAAGAAAACTTGCCTTCTGATTGCATTAAAGAAAAAGAAGGCATGTTTATCAGACCTTAATTATAGTTCTACTTTAATAGATGCTTTTTTTGAAATGAATTCAGTAGCAAACTTATAGTTCAAAATGTTCACAATACTTTAAAATTACAAATGATGCGTGAAAATATCCTTAAAGGTTATCTTATTTATAAAAATCACATAGACAAAACCAGAACAATAAAAAACAAAAAAATACGAACCCATGGTTTGGTGCAATTCCATTTTCTATTGTTAAAAAACCAATCTCTTTCTTTTCTTTATCATCTTCCACAGTGTCATCAGACCTAGAACATGTACAATCAAATTGTTCTTATCTTTGGAAAGAGTAAAAACTGCATCCATAAAAAGATAAATTATCATTGCAAATATAGCATTATAACAGTAATTCCATTAATAAAGAAAAACTACCAAGCATTTCTCCAGGAAACACCAGTAAAAATGAAACAAAGAATTATATTTTATACTTGACTGAACATTTCTTATATTATTGTACTAGATAGCTCACTGTTATTTATATTTCAGTCAGTTTATAAAAAATGGTATGAATATTCTTAGTAATCAAAAGAAAACTAATTACAGAATATATAATTGTATAAGTCAAATTTCTATGTTTATTTATGTCCAACTCAATCCAGATTTTTGTACTTCAATCAAGTTCCTAAATGATGTGACTGGCTGAAGGACTATACTCTAGGACCCACAATTGTAAAGTATGTTTGTAAAGGCTATGTAACACAAAGTCATAGGTAGGAATAAATACTAGTCTTCCATTTCAAAAGCCTTATATATCCATGACTCTTCTTATCTCTAATAAGAAATTTATACTACATATTGAAATTTGATACCCCAAAATTTGCAATGTTTTGAAAGGAGATCCAATGCCATAAATGGAAAATTCCACACCTGACCTTACACAATACATCAGTCAAACTCAGGCACACTAAATATATCTAAGTTCCTAATAGGTTTATGAAACATAAATGAGTTTCATATTTAAGCATGAGTTGTAGACTCAACATAACTTACTATGTATTGGCAAGTATTCAAAAATTTAAAACACATCTAAATCATTTAGGATAAGGAATAATCAACCTGTAGTTGCCTCTTCCACTGTTCATTCCATTTCCTTCCCACTTTACATACTTAGACTAAATTAGATAGGTTAAATATTCAAGTACCTCCTGAACAATTAGAAGCAAAAATATATTGTTCTACCATTTTGAATTAACATATCCTTGCTATTTCAAGTTATTTACTTGCTAATCTGAAAACAAACCAATACATATAAAAGTGATTTTTTAGAAAGTGTTTAGGTAGCAGGATACAAAATAAACCCACAAAAATCAGTTGCCTTCCTGTACACTGACAATGTACAAGAAGAGAGGGAAATAAAGGGAGTAACCCCATTCACAATAACCTCCCAAAAAATAAAATATTTAGGAATTAACCTAACCAAAGATGTAAAAGAACTATTTAATGAAAACTATAAAAAGTTAAAGAAAGAAACTGCAGAAGACACTAGGAAATGGAAAGACCTCCCATGCTCTTGGATAGGCCAACTTAATATAGTAAAGATGGTAATACTTCCAAAGTTAATATACAAATTCAATGCAATTCCTATTAAATCCCAATGATGTACATCACTGAAATACATAAAACAGTCCAAAAATTCATATGGAACAACAAAAGACCTAGAATAGCCAAAACAATTCTAGGGAATAAAGACAACATGGGAGGGCTATCCATGCCGAATTTCAAACTCTACTACAGAGCTATAATAACAAAGACAGCATGGTACTGGCACAAAAACAGACCTGAAGGCCAATGGAACAGAATAGAAGATCCAGAAATAAATCCACAGGCCTACAGCCAGCTGATATTCGACAAAGGAGCCAAAGACATACAATGGAAGAAACACAGCC